GACGCGTCAAAATTATAATAAAATCCAACAATATCAATGCGAGATCGAACATTGAAAAAATAAGATGTTGGCTTATTACTCGTTTTGAATTTTGTCCCCCTAAGAGAGACTAACACATGCACGTAGCTGGTTCAATACTTGAGAAAATAAATACTTTCGATTAATGGGTGAATGACGATTGCTAATTCTTATTTTCATATGAATTCATCTATTAAGTTGATTAAGGATGAATAATTTCATTTATTAGACGAGTCTTCGGAGAATTAAATGATTGACTTTATTAATTAATTTACATCGTTTACATGTTTTACATCGTCATACATATATTACTTACATACATATGTCGTATATTATTTAAGAAATAGAAATTTAAAACCGCATAGAAATTGTATTGATAACTAGATAATAAGAGAAGGTATTTGGTATCCGTATACTCGATTAGGCAACAGATTTCACTATAGACCGTATGTACCTTCGAAAACTGTATATAAACATCGTTAGTGTTATCATTTTTTTCTATCGTTCTTACTTTAATCTTATCATTCAACCCCTCAAAAGATCGTATATATTTAATCGAAAGAGTACAGTACATAAAATAATCAATAAAATTTCTAATGATTTGCAAATTAATAAAATTCCTTAATAGCACTGAACATTTAAATGAATAAAAGACTATTTATATCAAGTTTTCATTGGGAATGAATTCAAGCATGTTTATTCTATCTATCTGGTTATGACACCCTGGACGTTGCACCTATGTTAAAACCAATACGAAAACGCAGTAAATAATCTATCAATACTAGATTAGATGGATAATTGGTTTAGATTACCGTAATAAAAATGACTGATACCTATGATCCCTCAAGTGATCTTGCCTCCTGAACGCTTTCCCGCAAATGTCACAAGAATACGGCCTCTCGTCGGTGTGTGTCCTCTCGTGGATCAACAAATTGTAGCTCTTCGTGAATTGCCGATTGCAGAACTTACAGATGAATTGTTTCTTGGGCCTCTGTCCAGGCAGTCTCCTGGCGAAGAACGAAGCTGGCGGCGGCGGTATCGGCGGGTGTAATTGATGACCTTGATGATAAGGATGGACGGAGGTCTGGGGGCAGCAACCCCTCACTGCCAACAGAGCTGCGCCCCTCAGCCAATTGTCAATGAACGCTGCTTGATATCCAACGTTCTGCCCGCTCGGCGGCTGATGTCCGAGCCTGTTGGTTAATTGTTGAGATCTGATCCACCGGGGCGACGTCATTTGCATTTGTTGTAACTGCTGTTGCTGTTGCGGATGGATCGCCGGTGGCGTGTGAGGTGGCGTCAACGGCTCCATTTTCGATATCATTTGTTAAGAATTTATGATAACTGTTATTGTTAACACGAAATCAGTTTAACAATGACAGTGGCAACAGTTAATGTTCGCACACTTCTTCACAATTTATTGCAGCGCATTTTTGCACTCCATATAATTGCACATAAAAGAATAGACCGCAAGAATCTAGTCACTTAATCGTAAATTTAAATCGCACTATCTCAGTATCAAATAAGATGTTCAGTAATGTCGATCACACAAGATTCTCTGTCCAGTGTGATGTTTCACTAAACGCAGAAACGAGCTGATATCGTAATCAATCGAGGAAAAAGAGTTCTCCAAATGTGGCACGTTATCCAATGGCGACAACCTTGTCAAATTACCGAACACTGTTTCACCAAGCAGTCAAATATAAAACGAAGCTTCTCTCTTGTTTTATATTGTCTTCTCTAATCATGCCTGATGTAACTTCACTTCCTCGAAGATTAAGATTTATTGTATACTCGTTTCTGGTCAGAAAATAAATAATTATCGAGTCTTTTGAAACTTTATTTCCTAAATAAGAAAGGGGAGAAGACTTCTCTTTCGAATAGGAAATATAAAGACGAATGCTTTACAGCTCGAACGTGACTAAGCTGAGCGCACAACGTTCGTACGGTGTCAAGTGCTAAATGCCAACTGGCAGTGCCAGTGTCGGTGTCGGGTACCCGCTACCCAAGGTGTCCCCGGGTCCCGGGGATCGCTGGTTTCGAGCCGCGGCGTGGGTGAGAAAGGGGACCATCAACGGTGGCTCCTCCTTCTGTGAAGACCACGGTTGGCCGGGTTGCTTCCACAGGGGCGGAGCTTCCGGGATCACCGGGTCGAACACGAGTATTATCCTCCGGGCGAAGAGGCCACTTGTACCCGAACAGCCACGCCACCGGTTTTCCCAGCGTTTTCCACCCGCCGCGCCGCCACCGCTACCCGATTTTCCTCGTTCGAGAGTTTAATTGACCGTTAACGAAATTACGCTGCCTCCGCGAGCACCGGAAACGTTCTCTGTTAGGATTTCATTTATTTATACGCAGGGAAAATGATTATACAAATATTGAATGGATATGAGAATTTATTAAAGAAACATTTTATGATGTAATGCTATTAATCAAATTGAGTTTGTTAGACTCTAGAGATTCATT